CGAATATCGCATGTTACAACAGCAATAACTGTGCTAAGCACTTTTGCAGGATAACACGTTATGAAATAAAACATGTACTCTTACGGTTCAAATCGTATCATGGAAATGATGAGCTGATAAATCGGACACTCATAACGTAATTACGAAAAGATCGTCTATGTAAAAGCCGGTCTAGTACAGCGCTACGGACCTTGACCAACGTTTTCGCTTATCGCTTGGTAGAATAATAAAATTAAATTTCATTAATTACAAAATACTTCACTAGAAAAAAACATACATATATATTCTATTTATTTAAAAAATTAGTTGGACCTTATTTAGAAATTGTTAGATTTAATGCAGTCGCCAAATTAATAATTTTCGAAATTGTTATTAGTAGTGTCGAAACAACTACTGTTACTACAGTTATTCTCTCCCATGGCTCTTGAAGTAAACAGTACTTGCACAACGTTTTTCGTTGCAGAATCCCTGACTGACGAATGTTTTGTCCATAAGAAGAATAAAGAAGCAAAACATACATGAGGGTCCTAGGTTAAGAGTAGACTCTAGCTAGCAGGCCCCGCTATTTTCATTCCGGCCGTTCATTTCCTTTTGACGGTTACCAAGGCTAGTCGTGTTGCTCGGTGACGGTCTTGTCTCAGCCCCTGTTCAAGCTAACGCCTCCGTTCAGTGTGATCTTTGCAGATGTATCCACTTAATGTAAAATTGACATTTACAGAACTGTTCTTTACTAGAATGCGCTGTAATTGTAAGATTTTCCTCAAGGGAATCTAAGCTGACGGTAAACAAGGAGTTCCTCCAACTTATATAAACAAAGTACATCATAATAGGATTATCATATTAATAGTCAATAGGTGTAGTAGTAATTAACGGCGGCAATACGCACTTCTCTCATCTATATTAAGCGTTGCATGATCTGCTACATCCAATACTAGTCCTATATGCAAAATGGGTCTACGCGGAAAACAATGCTGAAGCTTTGACAGCTAGATAGATAGATGAATAGATAGATAGATAGATAGATAGGCAGATTAAGTTGAGAACGAAGATATAAATTTTACATTTTGGCATATCATAGTTTCTAGGCATCTTCTTTCTGGCCAATTGTTTGAGTTCAAGCGGCTTTAATGGGTGTTTCGCACGTGACACGATCGCAAGTCTGTGCCTCTGAAAAGATTATATATTTACGACTCCGTACAGAAAAACGTGCTGGTTATTGGTATATATTTTCGATAATATAAAGAAACAATACAAGCAATTTCAGGTATACCTCGCAAAGCTTTTGAAAGCGAAATTCTGGTGTTGCTTTCCATTCTAGTCCGTTGGGTGTAATGTAATGAAAACTACTCTATTGAGAGAATGACTACTTGTTTTAAAACGTATTTGAAAAAATTGGCAACTATCGTTCATTTAAAGAAAGAGCGTCTTTAGATCTCGGATATTCAAGTCGGTCTTGACGAATAGTAAAAATATCTTTGTTAGATCTTTATCGTTGCACCAGTTCATGGCCTATATGACGTTGTCAGTCATAAAGCGGGCCTTGAACGTGGTTTGATGCTCTGTTATTTCTCTATTGTTTAGCTATTCTTATAACTAGAACTGCTGGCACGCACGAGTCGGTCTATCCATGTAGCATACATGCTTAACAAATTGCTTGTTAATCCAATTGAACGTACTTGGCCATACGCTTAAAGGTGATCGAGATAAAACTCAATATGGTGACATTAAGAAGATCAACTGAAATACACTGTCAATTGTTGCACTCATGATCTGGGTGCTTCTGATCACTGATGGACAGCCCGTTAAGTTTCATTCTACTTATCCTTTGAGATGTCGACGAATCTGGTTTACGAAGAGGACAAGGGTTGTTGACTATCGGCGCAGTTCGGTGAATTCAGCTCAGGAAACGTATACCCCACCGAAAAGTTGAATGTTCTTCTAGAACTCCTCACTACAAAAACTATGTAAATGGTAATGTACTGTTTAAATAGATACACGGAAATTAGCGAAGTTTGTTTTTTTTAGTAATAAGCAATCTTCACGCTTCGCGCGTATGCTGCAACGGAGCTTCGTCGAAATTGAGTGAAAAGCATATCTGATTCCATTGTGGACGCCATTTCCGCAGATATGGTTACTTAGACGTTTTGCGTCGTAGGCGTATGTATATATATAAATATATATATATATGCTATATTATACTGAAGGTTACGTAGTTGTACCTATTTTTTCCCAGCTCGCGATATGAAAAATGTAATGATTCAGGCAAAAACGCCATATTAATAAAGAGGGGAAGAGTCAGTTTTCAGGCATAAGAGAGCTATCATTGAACGATGCTAAGCAGTTTGTCCTTCATTTTATGTTCCACTTGGCAATCTATTTTAGATTTGCAAATAGTAAAATCCCAAGTTTGAACCACTGAAGTTAGGCTTGAAATCTGGAGCTTCACTTACGACTTCGTTCACACTATATCGTTGAACGATTCAAACCTGCGAAGTCTGTAGTATAATAAAGAAATTAGATACTTTTTTTTAAAGCACAGCGCTTATATTCTATACCTTGTGTCTTGCTTTTTATGCTTTGTAATTAACCGACCGCGATTTTTATATTAATAATATGAAGCGATAAAAACGGCAAGGGCAATGATGATAATGATGATTGTTAATTATTTTGGTGTCTCGCCAACGCCGACATCTTGGTCTTCTCTACAAAACCGGTCTAATACGAATTCAGCCTTTTCTCCTTTTTCTGATCCGTATTCAAGTCACGTACGCACTCGCATATGTATAATCAAAAAAAAACGAGGAGTTGCGGCGACAAAGCAGATATCAACAGATTTCACGAGCTGTTTTTCTTTCCCCGCTGAAGGCGCCCCGCAGTCTACCAGAGCTACTGCTTTGATTGTGATTGCCACTCGTTGCATTTTCGTATTTGTAATCGTGGCTCCCAGATTTGGCTAAACTTTAAGTATGACAGCAGCACTGGGTAGCAGTTCGAATCCAAAATCATCAGACGTCATGCTCTCAACGCGTCTTCTTTTTTTACCAAGTATTGAATATCATTGTAGCCAACACCAATATAAACTAATAAAGTAGAGAAAATATGGGTTCTAGCCCCAGTCATCAATCCGGACCTTCTCAACCGGATCCTCCGTGTGGACTCGCAGCTTTCCGATGTGTGTTGTCGCAGAGATAAGAGTCGATCCGCTAAAATGAAATGAGCCGGACAAGCAAAGCAACCGACTAACCGACAAACGTAAAGCCAGACAAAGAAGAATTATATATATATATATAGGGCTCGGCACCTTTAAATAGACGAGCTTTGGTAGGTTGCTTGTCATAACGGCCACCCTTGATTCTACGAAACCAAGTGTTTTTTTTTCTAGAACAAATCTGACATGGTAGAGAACAAGGCGAATTTGAACGAAAATGAGCTATTATCTAATCTATTTTCGGGCTGGATGAATTCCCACCGAGATAAAAAAAAAAAAGCTTCATGTTATGTTCCGAATCGACGGTATTCATTATCGCCAATTTTCATGCGATTTTTGAAAAATCCGAGAAAAACTTCCATGAGGCAGACAAGGAGGTCCTCAATAGGTTTTAGATTTACCGAGCTCAAACATTCGTCAAAATAATTCAAAAAACCTTTTCTGATACAGTGAAATGAACGGCCCTCCTGGAGAGGATAATATCAATCGTCAATTGGGTAGTTCAAATGTATTGGAATAATTTATTTTAAAAAGTTTTTTCATCTATTAGACTTATGGGTGATTTTGGATATATATATGTGTATGTGTGACTAATAGTGGATACGATAGTATAAGGCGGTCCCGTTGCTACGAATTGTAGAGTCCAGTATACAGCACGTACCTTAGGTGAACCAACTAAGCGTGCATGTAACTTTAAAGTTGAAAAAATCCTCTACACAACCTTTAAAATCATATCTAGATGTTTTTGTTCTTATCATAGTGTCTAAAATAAAAGTATATTTTAAATCTATATATATATATATATATACATGTGCACTGTAGGCCTAGCTCGGCGAATCACTTAGAATTCGTTGGACAAATAATAGTGGTTATTATTGTGCGCGTTTATAAAAAGCCAGGGAGCGCAGTTAGCGCACTCAGTTGCGTTACTTGCCTCCTTCGCGACCTCCTTCATCCAAGGACGCCTCGTACTTGTGGGGTACCTCATAATGAATATCGTGTAACTTACATCTTCGAGTATATACACTATGTGCAACACTGTACCAAATATCAATGGAAGATCTCAAATCTTGAGTCATCGTTTCTTCATCTTTGCCTATCGTCCGTTCAATAATTACGGCGTAGTCATATACGATGTGAATGCGTTTAAATAGAAGTTTAACAAAACACCCCTTTTTTTTTTCTAAATAAGTTTCGTTTGTAACGGTCGGCAAGAAGTCGAGAGCAACAATTCGGTACAAGGAAAAAGCATTCACAAAGGGGTGGAAATTTACTTCGAGTAAGTTACCTTGATAAGGTACCATGTGATGTCTGCTGCAGAAAATATAAATTGTTAACATGAGCTTACATGTTAACATGTGAGGTAACACATCGCCTCAACCCTAAATCGATTTTCTCCTGAAAGGAAAACTTACTTTCCGTTAATTCCACGCTTAGTGTTCCACTATAGTTTGAAAATTACGTTCGTATACATTTAGTGCTCGCACGCTATGCTCTTGCAGAGTAGACTGGGCACCGACAAATTTGAAGTGCGTAAATATCTTCTTTAATTGAAGTGTCTCATCGCGGACTTCAGAATCATACACTATTGAACACCGACGATATGGAATAACGCATTGGTCAGACCAACCAATATAACAAATAATATTACTGAGCTCGAACCGAACAGAATTTTTTTGTGTAGGCTGTTTTTATTAAAGTTTCAATCATTCTTCACTAGTTACCATATCCTTGACGGAAATTCATAGGTGAAAATGCGTGTAAATAAGGTGACATACGCCAGTCAGTCTAATTGGAGTATTAATATGCACCGAAGGTCTTTGTTTGATACCTTTTGACACTCAATACGTTCTGCTTTATTATAGTGAAAAAGTGCCGGCCTAGCTGTATCATAAGGACCATGTGGCTTTATAATGTACAATTAGGAAGGCCAACCAATGTTCGTATACACACATATATTCGTCGCGTATACTCTGTCCGCTTAAGCCGGCGTCATGACCTGCAGGAGCTTTCAGTGTCATTTAGCCACACGGATAAAAATCTCCTAATCGAATTTTCTGCGTCTGGAAATGATAAGCGAGCTTTATGTAGTCGTCATCGGGTACTGCCGAGGGAGCCAGATCGACGTTCTGGGTAATATATATTAATAATATCGACAATGAGCTGTTGATAATAGGCAGATTTTAATCACCGATCATTCACCCCACAGATAGGCTTGGCAGATTGGACTGGTAAAATTATTTTTCTTTTATCGCTGCTCTTGAGTTCACCACAGACAGCATCTGTATAATTGTAATACTGTGCTACCTGTATTCTACTCTAGTCAAACCGTTTTTCGCGTTATCAATCATGCTCGAGAGACCAGAAATGTTAGTTGGACGGACTTTGACTCTGTTAGGTTAAAATAGTTAATTTTTTTTTTCCAGAAACGACAGCTGACGGTTAGCTAGCTGTAAAACTACACGAGGAAACATATCCTCTTTAAGATCCTCTGGCTAAACATGATCTTTCACCGTCATCAAAGAGACAAATGATACAAACGAACGACGTACATTACATTCTACTTTCTTAATTACCTAGAATACATCATCACTATTGCTGTTCCTCGCTTAACTTATAATCAGATTTGTGCTATAAGAAATAATTCTAACTTGGCTTCAACTATTCCGATATTTACCATTCTGTAACACTTTTCATGATCTCATCGCTTTGTGTTAATAAGAACAACATTTATCGTGTGAGCGTCCATTAAAGTACTAACAGCATCACGGTCATAATATTATATAAGAACATTGTGTGAATCCTCTGGCCTTATTTGTGGACAACAAGAGACTTAAGCTTGAATACAGGCTAAATAACAAATGATCATGACGAAACAGAATTAGGCCATCCGTGGAACAAACAGAGTTTCTTAATTAAGCCACATTGTAGGTTCGCAGGAATTAAAAAACGGGCCAGAATACGTTATTCCATCAAAAAGCAGAAGCTCCTCGAGTCTGTCGATCTGGACATAAAATGCATCGAAAAATTTACCTAGGTTACTGCCATGACGTTGAACAATTCCTACCGCTTGGCATACTTTGGGCCTACCCAAATTGAATCCAAACGATACATGGTGATATTATAATGATGATATTATTGCAAAAATAACAGTTGTCTGAGCATTTTCTGTCTTATTCTCCCTTTGCAGATTTTTTTATTCGTTTACCTTATCGGCATAATAATGAGAAATACATCTTTCAGGGAAGCCAATATTACCATTATAATGGACTGAAGATAGAAAAGAGGTTTAATTAATATAATGTTCTATATAAGGTACTTGGTATCATGAAACAAACCTTGATAATGAAAGAAAGAAATCAATAGATAAAATATTCAGATGAAACAATTATTACCAAAATAAAAGCTAAATATCAATAGTTATCTAATCGTAAGGCTAACATATGTTCGGCCGATGATTTTGATGGCAAACGTTCTCAGTATTCTGCTTTCGTTCGATTATTGGCAAAATATTGGTTTTTGGTAGCGGAAATGTTTTGAATGAATAAATGTTTCGCCGGTTGACTATGGGCCGGAATTGGGGACGTCAGTTATTAGGAATTTACATATCGATATGAAAAGGATATTTGGTAGGCCGCTTGGGGCAAACTTCACTATTGAAATGAAGTGTTCATGACTTTTATAGACCAAATAACGCCTCAGTTCGAAACATCGATTTTGTTCAGTTGTTTGTTCGATCTAACGCCTGTACAAGGACCCAAAAGTGCGCCCCAGTAAAATCACGAAAATGGCCTATTAGCCGGCCTTTTTTGATGCTTAAATCAAAGTAGATGTCTCTAAATATTTGAGAAATAGAAACTATCGGTTGGAGCTAGCGCTCATTGTAGACAGCATCCTCATTGACAGTAACGAATACATGAAGCGAGCGCGGCACAATAAGTCTCAACTAGCAGTGTTTATCCACATGAAAAACAAGCCGAAATAGAACTATGAACTAGATCTACTTAAGAAGCGTTTGTGTTTTTTTTTTTTACTACCTTTTTATTCCGCAATAGGTTCCAGTATACAGGTCACGACATAGTACAATAGGTCCTGATACACCTTAAAAAATCATTAAACAGTATAATTTTCATATGCCCATCCAAGAAAGTCGCTCTAAGTGGACCGTCTATGTTATGAAATCTCTATATTATCGTTATTGTATAATAATGGCACAAAATACCTTACATAAATATGTATTGGTAATTATTCAGCAAAGTATGATGCTAACAAGTCTTACTTGTGAGGTCGTTGAAGCAGGTGATCGCATATTCAGCTTTTTCATTGACTACGTACGACGACTACAAATAACGGACGGATATTTTTGAATTCGAAATTTAAAAGACGTCTCTTCGCAGAGCGGGAACAACTTCGAAGAAAATCGACAGGCTAATTCATGCTGCATTTTGTCACCGGTGGGTTAATGGCAATTTGGGATGCATGGCCCATGTGAACGTGCATTTATGCGCCTGTTGCAATAGTTGCACAAACATTATACGGTGTGTCTGCGAATACCTTCTTATATTATTGATTATTAACAATTGCTGAACACATCTAAATATGAGAAAGGGAATAAAAAACGGAGAGGGCAGAGAACCTTTAAAGGTACCATTAAATATTTGATTTCCATTGAATACTGCATTACTAACTGTGTAGCCAATATACCCTCTTGTTGTTATCTATTTATTTATTAACTGCACAGAATAGACGAAATGTCACAAAATCAATAACGTAGGATAGTGTTCATTCCTTATCAATGATGAGTCAAAAACGAAAATCTAGTTGAACTCACAGCAACAAGTCACTGGTTCCTGCTGATTGTAGCTAAGAAGGAATTTCAAATTAAAGCGATAGGGCTTGTGATGTGATAGAAAATACCATATCTGATGAGTGCGGTCAGCTATTAATGTAAAAAAATTAAAAATACCTTAGCCACGGAAGGCCACGGTTCATTAAAACCGCTTACTCATCTGAAGTCGGGGGTGAAGTGAGCCAATGCCGTTATCAGTCTTTTGCTGGTATGTAACGCCTCAACGCCATAACGTCAAGTAAACGTGCTTTGATCGACGAACAACATCCTCTATACTCTCTTAAATAATGATGATTTTCTACGATACGGGAGCTATGACGAAGTGCCCTACACCATGGCTTACACGCTACAAATAATGCGTAATGCAAAATGGCTTTTTGTTGTCTGTGTGTGTGTGTGTGTTGTTTCTAGAATCAATCAGAATACGTAACCATGCCTGTTGCTATATTCAGCCAATTTCCATTTCCGAGATCGTATCAGTACGGCGAAGGTTAGGCTTTGTTTCTAACTTTTCTTCTTCTCTTTATTATTATTATTCTTATTATTGCTATTGAAGCAGGGCTGTTCGATCGCAAGGTGTGCAGTGAGCAAAACGTGTAGAGATGGCAGCGGGAAACGCCTGTTGAAGCCAATGGGAACATCTAGTTGGCATTTTATGAAACTTAGCATATAAAAGACGCAAACAAGAGATGAACATTATCGGATAGATTCATCCCATCGAAATTTATGCCATCACAATAAATATGATAAAATTACGATTACGAAAATGATACGAACATTCCCATCTTCTTCTCTAATCCGATTACGCCATCACTACGACGGCACTCGTCACGATCGGCCACTGCAATACACCTATCGATAGGGTATAGCACGTCGTCGTTTGAAACGATGGAACTGTGCAGTATTACACACCTGTTCTATACATTATAGATATTCTGTTTTACGGAATACATACAACAGTATGTAAAGTTGTACAATCAACCGATATTAAACATTTAACGGTTTGCTCGTTTGATAAGGTTCGAATCGATTCACATCAAACGTACTCTTTACCTAACGATTAGCGGATCCAGCAGCGGATCGGGGATGATGGACAAACATATACTTTTCATTGTGTTTGCCGCGATAAATACACGTGAAATCAGTGTATCGTTTTATTAGTCGGGTAGTAGAAGTGTGTCCTACTGACGACGCTTACTGAATACTGCCGTCTGAATAAAATAACACCCTTTTAACGCTTCGTACATCCACCCGCTCTACTAGAACATAACAGCCAAGCAGATATTTTGTGGTTGAAAACATAATACGTTACGAATTATGCATATACACATCAACGTCATTAAAAACAAAAAACAACCGGTGCAATTGTTTCATTGAGCAGAATTTTTACTGCTTCTGCCTCTTTCAAATTCACATCATACAGATGTACTTCTTGATCGTGACTTCAGGGAAACTTCCGAAATTTAAGGTTTATTCGATAGTGACGTTTTTACTTGAAAGTCTCCACGTAATAACTGTTAGGATTTACATAGTTAACTGATATATATATATATATATTTCACATAGCTGATTTACGTATTGGGCAACTAGAATCGTTATGGCGATAATATTGAAAAAGGACTTTTGATACCGTAATCGATTGTCGTTAGCTTCTGCATGATATGGTTCCGAAAAACAGTGGCGCTTCCGAACGCCTACGTACTGACGAAATGGAACACTGATGATAGGCAGCCCACATTTGTTCCATATGTAGTATATACAGACTTCACGTGCTTGTTTTTCCGTATTGAACCTTAGAGTTATTAACAATAGTTTGGCTGTCATCATATAATCGTTATAGATCGACGACTCGACGATAACGTCAACGTTAGCGATTCGAATTAATCTAAACAATTTTCTAAGTGAAATGCAGACCAGGACGGATTGTTTCCCTTGAGTCAGCGTGAGGTTTAGGAGCAGGGCACAAATCCCTAATTGATTGACGATAAAGAAGCTACTAGTTAAAATACTTGATAGAGAATATAAGAGCTTCGACGACTTCTAAAAGGCGACAAGGCCCCCTCGGACAAACTGTAGAACTATACTGAGTCGGTCACACCGCTAAACAAGTTGACAGGCTTCACCTTATCTTCCCTGCTATTGTTAAAGGAAAGTTTTCCTCGTCGAAATCTATTTTACGGGACAAAGGAAACTGACGACGTTGTTGTACTAGCTACATGCATCCCTTTTTTTTTTTTTTTTTTCGCGTATGTTTAGATTTAGCCTTCACAGTCGTTCATCACCTTTCGTACCTCTATGCTAGCTGGCTATAAGGTGGTAATGATTATAGGAATGCGTTGCAGTTGTGGGAAGATAAAGAAGTTCAAGATAATACAACATGAATCGTCCTAAAGGACTTCGTTGCTAAAGTTAGTATATGGTGCTCGCAGATCGTAGTATCTGGCGCTCCGTCTCAATATATCCAAAAATTGCCTATCGCCATGTATCGCTGCTTCGTTCGTTACATAAGGGAACACACGTAGTTGACTCATGCCCGTGATTTCAAGCGATATTAACAACAGTAACACAATACTCTGTTCTGGTAGCTATTAGCGAATTCGGTGAAACTGTACCAATACAAGTCTCACTAATATATATATATATAGGAATCTTTAATCCACAGAGGATCCCATCTATCGTCGCTTGTCCTTGATGCTATTTACGACGATAATCGCTCTGGTCAATCCAGTTTGGCAGCTATTTAGATCCAAACCAGAATTCAGCCTGAACGTCGAAATTCACAGAAATCTACACTCATCTCAATAAGATGCACAGAGAGAAAAGCAAATGTTCATCTTAAATATTTTCTATTTTAATGTAACTTTTCTAATGTTCTATAAAATATGAGAAAATGGTAGCTATAACTGAACTTCGGAAGCGAAACCACGTGCAGATTCAGTGCTATACATTTATATGGGCCCGTGATGCACAGCGTCCAATTATGGGCAGGGCGAACACCATAAGATCATTTACTTCATTGACAATTTGCACATATTGATGAGCAGACTGATTTAACGAGATGACATTTTTTTCTGTTCCTTAAAGAATTGCCATTGCACAAGGTGGCCCCTTTTGCCTCTCTGGCAACAATGCTCTTCCATGTTCCATTAAAAAAGTATGGACGTTTTTCGTCCGGCTGTCTACTATTTTTCTCACATAAAAATATGCCTTTGCTGTTTAAATCAACTAAGATCGTTTGCATTTACAGAGGAAGAAAAAAAGTCTTTTGCCAATTAAAAATACAAGAACTCAAATAGTAATAGGCAAAACTAGTTGATTCACAGGATACCAAATATAGAGCATAGATTTTGTCGTTATCATTAGTCAGCCGTATGACAAAAATATTAACAAACGTAGCTGCTAATAAAGTGTTCCAAAAAAAGTTTTGTAATCATGGACCGTGATTTTTTAGAAGATTTATCAAATAATAATGGAACAAATGTGATCACCGGAACGGAGATAGTAATTAATCATGAAACCGCTTCAATTACCGCATTTATCAGATCACATGTACGTTTCATCATAATCGTGTATTTTCTCAACGAAAAAATAAGTCTTTTTTTTTTCCAGTTTCCACTGTTTTTTTTTTACCATTAAGCTAAAAATCAATGTGTCTCCGTAGGATGCCGTGTCAGAATCCAATCCATTGTTTCGTCGATTTAAATATTTCGTATGTGTAAGTTTTCAATACTTTCTTTGCACTATATATAGATGTATGTATGTATGTATGTGTGTGTGTGTGTGTGTGTGTGTGTGTGTGTGTGTGTGTATGTCTTGTTTCTTTAAAGCATAACTTTTTAAAATGTATCTACGTATAGATCGGATATTGTTTGTATTGCATGCTTTCGGAAAATTCAGCTGTTTTTGGAATACAACGATTATTTCATTCCTACGCCATCCTATGCGATCTGCAACACTAGTCAATGCACTTGCCAAGCTGTTTTTATCGAGACTTATCCTACTCTATTTGATAGGTATACTCCAGGTGTTAACACACTTTGTTTTGTGCTTAAAGCCAGCTATATGACGTGGTTCCCAGTAGCCCAAGTACTGCTCGTAAATGTTGACAACATATTTTCGTTCACTTTGGTGTCTTTCTGAAAAAAAAACGTTTGCAAATATAAAACTTTTACACTGTCCATGTAATATATAGCTCGAAAGGTTCGTTTGACCAACCAGCTGATGGAGCTATACTGCACACAGGTATGTCGTGACCTCCTGAGGAAAAGAGAGCTAGCAAAAGATGACGACGATGACGATGACAAATTGGAGGTTTCAGGCGTACCCTATAGCAAAAAAAGGCTTAAAGAGTAGTTCTAGAATCCTCCAGGTCCGAAAATAGTATCATGTGTGTCTCAAGCCTCGCAGCGATCTTACCAGAGAATCAAGGTTAGCGGGTAGCTCTTTATTCACGGAACCCTCAATAGCACCTAGGAGTGAATGCTTCAGGAACTTACTTGTAGTTCATGATAAGAAGTAACCGATGACAAAATTGACGCAAAATGGCCGCACTGCCTTTAACGGATGCCCATGGTGTCTTTCTTTTAAGTTTTATCAGGCAAATTTGGTACATGTAATAAACGGCAACTTATTAAGAAAATGCTTGATCATTTTTTTCCGGAGGTTAAGGACAAATGCATTATGCAGACCAGACATCACTGAATTGTGCTTTGTCCTCTTTATCAGCCTCTTTATCAGCTTGGGTCATGGTTCGGGATATGTTTGATATTACTTCCGAACCATGACTTGCATGAACGGTTATTTCGTCATCCTTCCCTTTGAACCGTTCCAGTCCATCCTCTATTCTGGCTTTCCTCTTGACCAGATACGCTGGGTCTCGATAGGGATCGTACTCCTTAATCTCCCGTTAATATCAATTGTACTGTGTCAGGCTCGTGATTGTTTCGGGCCTGTCCTTCTATTATTCTCTTACGTCTCATTCTTTCAAATTGTTCCTTTCTTTTCACAATATCATCAAAGAAGGCCGTAACTTTGGCCCAGGTCGTCCTGTCTTTTGTCATCATATCCACCATTTCCTTAGCACTGCCCTTTATTGCGACTTCTCTGTAAACCTGCTTATCTCTGACCGCTTTAAGTGTCTGGCAGTGAAGAAGAGCATGTTCTACTCCGTCTTTCGTGCCCGACACGCAAAGTACACAGATGTCCACTTGCGTCTTGCCGGTCTTTGTCATGTATGTTTGAAACTGTCCATGACTCGACAAGACTTGAATCCACGCTTGAATGCTTGATCACTACCAAGTTAAGGCAGGACCAATGTTTCTCAAACGGAAGTAGGATACACTAGTAGAACCTGCTGCCAATGGAATGGTTTTGATGCCGTGCCAATTTTTCTGACGAACTTGTTGTACTTTTTATGCCAAGAGTTACCAAAAAATCTCTACGCATATTAAAATGCTTTAGACATATCCGTTTATTTGTAACGAAAAGATCGAAAGTGGTCCTTCACTGCGAATTCGGTACCTCAACCTCGGAATAAAACGCACGATATGAAAGCATAACAATGCACCCCGCAAATATTGATGTGCGCG